GCGTTTGCAGTATTCTTAGCATCGCTTTCTTGTTTTCATCACGGATCCTTTGTATGAATTTTAATTTTTTTTTTTTTTTTTTTTTTTTGTTATTATTACTTCACTAGGGGGATTCACGAAACGGACGGACCACAAAACAGACCGCTAATTCAAGCGCCGCCGTCAACGTGTTAAACTTCTTTCCGATATCTATAAGTCCCCTACCTGTTTTTACGGCAAATTAGAGTAATAATATGTAAATTGTAGGTCCTTCTAAATACTATGTGATTAATTTAAGCTAAAGGAGTAATAATATGCGCAAAGTTAACTATAAGAAATTTATTACCTCGGTAAATAGTATTTTAACACATTTGAAATAATTAAAAAGCGAGCAACACCGTAATAGTGGCACCACTGAGTAAAGGAAGGTTAGGTTAGGTTAGGTTATTTAATTACGGCAAAGCCTCGAGAGCTATCTGCCTAAGGGGAGGAATGCCTTCGTGGAGGACTTTCTAAGGGAAACTGGCTCGTATACACGTTGCACATGGGAAAACCACGAAAACACTCATGCAGACAGCCTGGTTGCGGGATTCGAACCTCGGACCGAGAGTAAAGGAAGAATAACCATATCTCTTCGTTACGTTCATAGGGGCTGACTGGGCTGGCTACCAAAGTGATAAGCAATTTTGATTCATGATAAAGCCATTTTCTATCAAATATATAAGCTATACTTAATAATTCTAGGTACGACTTGCATATACAGTGTTTATACTTTATATAAACAGTTTTATATCTATCTAAAAAGCATATTATATTTAGTGCTATATTATATTTAGTGTTAGTAGATTATGCTTAAATTCATGATTCTAAACGCTCTTTTGAAAGTTGCAACCTGTTTCTCAAAGTATTTATTTCAAACTTATCATCCTACTAAAGGACACTTTTTTCAATTACACTTTCCTTTTATAGTCTACGAAGTGCATTTTGCTACAAAACTGAAAATATTTTTAGAATTTTAATATGCTTTTCTTGCATTCTACTCTTCAGTGAAATTTCGATACCAAGAAATAGTTATCGGATATCAAACGGTTTGTTTATTACGTGAAAGTCTCGGTGCAAAACGAGACATTATGAAGAATAAATGAACTTGATAGAGGAAAAATTATCGAACTAAGAGCAGGTGATTTCTTGTACAACAAGGTCGCTGTTCACGTTTCGGTGAAATATCAATACAATTTCACATACGTAAAGAGAATGGACAAGTGAGGGAAGGGCCGGCTACGCGGACGGCTTATATAGCTGACCGGGTGTTGTTCGGGTCCCGTAAATGTCTAAAGCAGCACTTCCTGGTACCCTACAAAGGTCGTACTGGGAGTTTGTTGAATTTACATTCTACATAGCCATTGACATTGCTACTTAATAAATTAAACGGACATCTACACTTAATACATTAATTAAAATAACAACAAATTAGACATTTAATACAGAGTATAAGAAATAGCTGAACATTATACAACGCGCAATAAAAAATTAATCAAATTACTTTGTAGAGACATTAGGTTATTTCGAAGCAGGAGACATGGAAAATGAGCAATGCCCTCGCCGGGATTCGAACCACGGACCTTTCAAATATGCGTCCAGCGTTCTGACCACTACACCACGAAGGCATGCTAAGAAGGCTGGAGAAATACCTTATATTCTTCCCTTTTTAAACGGCGACTGCGGATTAGGGGATCAATCGCCAAATCCTGGTGGTGGAGAATCATCATCCCCCACTTTTTTTAGTTCGGGCGCCCTCTGTGCCGTGTACGGGCGCCCTTTGTGCCTCTGTGCCCTAATGTAGAAACATTAGGTTATTTCCAAGCAGGAGATGTGAAAAATGAGCAATGCGGGACTCGAAACACGGACCTCTCGAATACGCGTCGAGTGTAGTAATAGCTTAGAGAGAATGTAGCCAAAAGGCAAACGCGCGTTATTCAGAATCTCTGGCTCTCTAAGGAAGTCAGTGGAACTTGGACTTTAATACCGCTCTTACTCATTTGCATTAACCGCGATTCTAAAAACACATTCTGGTAGGAAATTATAAGCAGAAATTAAGAAGGGTAGGAAAATAGCTTTAATTAAAGATAGCTGTTAAAAACTTAGGATAAAACTTACAATTTCATAACAAAAATTACTGTTGCAATACTGTAAACATAGAATACAGAATGCTATATTCATTGAGTACAACATGCTAACTCCAATATAACTTTTCATTAAGTACATATTTTATTGCCCGTCACACATTATATTAAGGGCAGTAGTTCTTTGTATATTATACTGTTTATGACTCGGTGTGGATTATACATGATTCAGATTGTATTAAGAAGAGTGCTACAGAGTACTCAGGATTACTTTTGTAGTATTTAGGACATGGATTACAAATGTGTGTAGAAATCCTATCTTCAGTACACATACTATTCACTATTTTCTTTTCTCGTTACAGTAATTATGTGCCTTCGTTGCAGTTAGTACTGCTGTCAGTATTACAACCACTGTGTATCAGTATTATAGTCCTGGTAGTTCATAGTGGCAGTCAGTACTATTTGCTCATTACAGGGAGTACTGGTGTCATTATTGCGTCATCAGTACTACAGTCATTGTGTTTCATTACGGACAGTACTACAGTCACCGTATTCTGTAATACTATATACAGTGCATATATTATACGGCACAGAGGGACACGCTAATCAGCATGACACAGGTGCCGCTCAAGTGCCTCTAATTTTTTCATTATATTTTTTAAATTTCTCAAGGACGGCTGGCTGCTTGATGAAGAATCGCTTAAATGAGAATGAATAGGAGAAGGTTCATACCATCGATATGATGGACTTGGAAAGGAGAAACTAGAGCTATAACAAAACAAAGGAAGAGGCATGGCACTCACTAGGCATGACAGTGATGTACTGTGACGATTTATAACGCTATCACAACAATGGAGAACTATAATATTTCAGGCAATATCAGTCAACACTCCTGACAGATGACTGCTGCAATGAAGGTTCGTAGTTCGACGTCCGTTTTTTGAAACTTCATTTGAACCTTTATAACATCGAGTAAAATAAAGTTCCTGCAACTTCATCCGACGTCAGCTACTTGTATGAGCCAAGAGCGAAAACACTGGAAAACTGAATAGAAATAAATCCTCTTTCCTGTCTTTCGGTACAATCTCGATACCTATAAAGATCAGATCTTTGTTCACCGCTACAGTGAAAACTAATTCCGATAAGTTTGCATTGTAGAGAGCAATAACTGTTCTAGTGTGGACGGTATGATTTGAAATGGTATCACATGCATTCGCACTAATGGTCTTTTAAAAATCGAAACCTCTGTAAACAGTAAACTCTATATTTTTTTAGAACAAGAAAACTTAACTGTGCTGCTCACTATACACAATATGACAGAGATAATACCTTTCGTCTCTGTGAAGTCTGTGAGCCCATGTTTAAACTGCTGGCCTCATCTTATAGGCATTTTTCCGCCTTTTTAGCCTGCCTTCGTGGTGTAGTGGTCTGCACGCTGGGCGCGTATTCCAGAGGTCCGCAGTTCGATTCCCGGCGAAGGCGTTGCTAGTTTTTCATCTTGCCTGCTTCTAAAAACAACCTAATGACTCTACAATCTGACTGTTGCTGGCCGAGACACTGTAATTTCTTGATGCGTCCTGGCATATTTAAGACATTTTTATCCACAAAAATTGAACTGCTTCTCATGCCTCAACCTTGCAATAAACTTCTATTTAACGCTCCATGTAATGCTTGTGATATGGTTCACCTCTTACCACTAATTGCAATGAAACTGTCTCTATAATAAAGCATAACTGTGAGCACACAGCACTCTTGCAGCGCAATTTTTCTATGTATTCTTGAGAGCTGCAAATTATTTTTAATCATATTCGCATCATATATCATAACTCCTACAGTTATGTTTGCTATCTCATGATCATATCGGAGTTGGCCGCTCGCAAGGATTTGAAGCAGAGTCGAGCTACCAGCGGTTTTACTGCTTGGTGGCTCGTGAGCCAGGTATGCGTAGATTTCTGAGCTTGTTAGGTGAGAAAAGAAAAAGGGAACATTCATGTATTTGCAGTATTTTTGTGGTGCCATATTTTACAACTGCTCTAGTTTTAACACGTGTTTTTAAAATTGCGATTTTTTTTTTTTTTTTTTTTTTTCCTTTTTCCCTGCAGCACTGATTTTGGATGATTGAGCTTTAGAACTTTGAAGTTCTACCTTTGCCTTCTTTCCCGCCTCACCATTCTGTAAGAAAATATCCCTCTTCGTTTTTTTCCTTGGCTAAGCTTTAGGCAGACAGCTGATATGTTAAGATTTTATTGTATTAAATCATATTTTTATAAATATCACTTGAACATCAAGTATTGCTTCTTCATAACCAAGACTGTTGAGAAACAAATATTTCTTTATAAGTGTAGAATGATGTCATGTAGATTTATAAAACCGTCTTGGATAATTGAAAAAGACGAAAGAGATCTTTTTTTAATAAAAAGAAAAACGAAATTATAATTTCATTGATAAAACTCTTATCAGTAGATAGAAAAGTTGCTTTCTCATATCTAACCCAAAATCAGTGCTCACCATTGACCAAATGGATCCGACAGCTAAACACTAGTAGTTCAGCTCTTGTTCGCATTCGATAAACGGACTAATCGCATTGGCATTTTCGAGGCTTTTCCGAAGTTTGCTGTAAATACGAGCAGTTTCCATCAGAAAGTCCTTCATGAAGGCATCCCCTTTCTAAGCAGATACCTTTCGTCTGCTTTTCCCAGCAAACTTTTAGTTGATTATTTAATATATGGCGATATAAAAAATCTATTTTCTACCATACCACGATTCTAATTTTTTTGGCATATTAACATGATATTATAAAATAAAAACTGGAAAGGAAATCAGTAGCATGCTGTTAAACCGTAATATTACAGTATTCAAATGCATTATTGATGTATATATACTTGTATATATTCTTACCTCTCCAAGTGAACATTTCTCCGCATTCCCCAATCTCTGAGTGAATGAGATATGCATTGAAAGATTGTAAAGATGACGCCGTAGTCAGGTTGCCAACGGGGGCCCAGTGCAGCTGCATTTCATCACTTTCCAACGATACTATATTGAAAAGAAAGTTTCAAAGCCTGTGAGAAAGAATTTAACAACGTGCTAAAAATATTAGGAGAAATTCAAAATCAGTAGTTTGAATTTTTAAAATATTATTTTAGCTTTATAAGAACAAATTTAGAATCATCTACAATAAATGATTTCATAAAAACAAACTTCCAATTCACCTGCAATAAAGCTACATTGTTAAGATAAGTAAGGAGCAATATTTTCACTTTTTCCCCATTCATCATAGAGCCAGTTTCACATATTTAACTTTCGAAAACGTGCAGATTTTCTAACAGACTAGGAGTTGGCAATCATCCAGCTTCTATGCAAGGAAACTTAACAGAAGCTCGTGACAAGAATGTTAATAAATGTTGAAAAAATAACAGAAACACATATCGATACTTTCCGCAATATTTTCGCTGCAAACTAAATCGTATAAGAAACTCAATGTCCTCACTTTATTCAAAGCGCTTTGGAAAGTTTTTTTTTTATTTAGTATGTGATTCTTCTGAATTTCCTCGTGTCCTAAAAAGTAAACATGCACTAATTCAAGAGTCAAATTTATTTTAACTCTATAATTTCCAATAAGCATTTATAGCTGCATAATACGAAAGATTCATTCGGAACTTAATTACAAAAAATTCTTGAAACTAAAACAGATTAATTTTTGTATGCAATAGTAATCCTGAGATATGGTACTAGAAACATAAGTAACACAGAGCAAGGAAGCAGCAGATATGTTTTCGATACTTATAATGATCTGAAACTGCGAAGAAATTTTACAGAGAATAAATGGAAGTCAAAGAACAAATTAAATGAATTATAAAGATGCTTATGGATTAGTGAAGGCAATGGCGATCTTGTTTGGTCGTAGTCGAAGCTTTAAAGTTGCAACATAAATCAAATAAAAAAAACGTAAACTGATAATAAAAAAGAATTGAAATAAAAGTGTTTGGCAAACTTGCTCATAACATCGAACTGTAAGGTATATTATGTCAAATCTTTTAATTTCTTTCAGCATTTTAAAAAACGCTTCATTTCAAAAGTGAAATATGAAATAAACAAGAACAACTCAAATATGAAATAAACAAGAACATATTCATTTGTAAAATTTTAATGACTTGCATAAAAAATAAGTAGCTCTTCGGAATTTTAACGGAAAAATAGTATTACATTCACAAACTAAGTAACTGAAATACTTATTTTGTTATTATACAATATTCATGACAATATTTTCTGTTAAAGGTTCGGTGATTCTGCATATAATTAAAACTGCATTAATACCGTTATACGGTTTATCATTACAAAAGTCATTTGCAAGGCTATTACTTTAAAATCAATTTCATTTATAATTATTCTCTGTTAAAGCAACATTTCGTCATTATAGCCATAGTACGTAATGTCATCTTAATGTGTTTCTTATAGGCGAAAACCTACTCAAAATAATTTCAGATTTCCATTTAAGCATTCCTTCTGAAAATGTACTTTAGAAAACGAATTTAACTGCAAGTCCCCTTTCGTAAAGAGAGTAACAGCCCTTTAAGTAACCTGCTTTTCTTAAGTTCATGAAGGCACAAGACATGCAAAGAAGTGCAGGAATCTAAATAAAAATTTTATAGCATATAAGTTTAATTAAGGGAAAGGTTGAGCACGCGTACTTCTGTTAGGTTTCCTTTCAGAAAAATAAATATATTCCAGTTAAAGTATGCAATAAAATTAATAAATCTTTTAATGCCACCCTTTAAAAAAACTTCCATTTATAAAACTTAAATACTGAAACACGCATAATATACATATAATAAAATATATATGTCAATTTAATTTAGTTACTCGATACATATAGTTGTTTTTATCGACGATATAAGATGCAAGACGTTGATTTAAAATTCATTAGGTAACCTTTTTCGGCTTAATTATCGATTTTTGTATACAGAAATGGCAACGCCCTTTCTTTCCAGTTGCTAAATTTAAACATACAAAGGTTGACGGGCAGTTAAACCAGAAATTATCACCTGCGCCTGAGAGTAGAATGCGGTTATATCAAATAATAAAAAGTTGTGGTTATCATTTTGTGAAGGATGAAAACGAAAGCATCTCTAAAACGCTGGTTAGAAATTATTCGTTGTCTTGTGTTGTTTCACACTGTCTTGAATTTTCAGCTCTGCTACCTCATACTCTGAGATATTCTCTCTAACTCTTGATATAGGATTTCCATATAAAATCGAGATAAAAGTCGAATGTAAGTCACAATACTCCAGATTCAATAAATCCGTCTGAATTTGATTTTTACACTAAATTATTACAATGTAAGAAACCTAACTCCCTTAAATCTTAAACTCTGGCTCCGTGAAGATGATCACGCTACATACCGCCCCATTTTAACCTCTTAATAAAGTAGGAAAATAATTTGAAATAAACCTTTTTATTAGTTCATTAGAATGACCGTTAGTTATGCAACCTGTGCATAAAATATCCCCGCACCTTGCAGGAATAACAGAAACAAACTTAAAGTAAAATGGAAAGGATTGAAAAATGATATTTTACGAGTCAAAACGCTACTACAAGCTTTGGCTCTGGTCCTCAATTTATGCGAGCAGTTACGGCTAGTAACGTCAGAGCCGATTCAAGCAATTCAGATTTTGGAAGAAATAGTAGCAAGTTGGTCAGCGATAGCTTCCACAAGATCTTTCTCTCTCTCCTTGTAACTTTATAATTCTATAGCCCACCAGCGGCCGAGCGGTAAAGTCGCTGAACACTGGTAGTTCGGTCCGAGGTTCGAATCCCCCGAACGGGCTGGCTGCATGGGCGTTTTCGTGGTTTTCCCCATGTGTAACGTGTATACGAGCCAGTTTCCCTTAGAAAGTCCTCCACGAAGGCTTCCCTCCTCTTAGGCAGATAGCCCTCGAGGCTTTGCCATAATTACACACACACACACATTATAATTCTATATATTAACTAATTTTTATCTAGGTGAAAGCCAACGAAAGAAGTGACAGTAAAGGCAAAACGATAAATAACGGTTAATAAACATTAAAACTCTGCAACTGCAATTATGTCTTAACATAGTAATGGTTCTTACAAAGTTGCAGAATTATTTGAAAGTATAGTAGCCATTTGTGGTGAGCCATTTTTTTTATCTTTTAATTCAAAAATATGTAGCTGACCTTGCGATGAGGCAATGCAGCATCTACCATAAAAACGTTTCTGATCATGAGCAAATAAATAAACCTATTGAAACCGTTTATAAGTTATTTTTCTACTAAAATTAAGCATTAACAGTTTTCCAGGCATGTTCCAAATCAGAATAGAATTAATTTTATGTATTTATATAATAACTCATTTATTACAGTGACTAATTCTAAAAACATATTTTTTATTATTATGTATTTAAATTTGAAATATATATTCTCATCAATTATTAATAGACGTCTGTGGACACATCTGAGTGTTTATATTTTTTAATATAGAAACCGCAAGAAACAGTTACAATAAACTTGCTTAGAAACTGCTGAATGGTATTCCAGAAGTTAGATTTTTTATGTGCAAAGCAAATGTGTTCATTGGTGGATGAATTTATATGAAATAGATGTGAGGTGTCTCCAAATATGAACATGCCAAATAAAATTATACAGAATTTAACGTAGTTTTTGAATAGAAACAGAATAAAAAAATGCAAGAAAATTAATAAAAGTCTAGCAGCAACAAAATATGGAGAGAATGCTTTGGATTCATTTTTTATTCTACTTGGCAAAATATCAACTTCAGCGTGCTAATGTAGAACACTTAGGAAGGGAGATGGAAAACGAAATTTTTATAGCCACTAATTCATTTCACATGGCTGATACTCATGTGGATATGCAAGTCTAAAATTTATTAAAATTTATTTAAAAGCTATTTTTTTATTTCTGTACTAAACTGTTTCACAGATATACATTTCCACAATTTTTAGAAGGTTTACTGATTATGATAAAACAACAACGGCTTTCTATTATGGGAAAAATATTATCGATAAACTACAAACGCAGAATATTTTTTCTCTTGAAGATAGCCGCATAATTCTAATAAAAATTACTTCTCTTTATTCTCGTCTCTTCCCGGTGATCTTCTAGAATTAGTTTTGAATTCAAAAATAGTAAATATTATAATTATATTATAGATAATAGAAAAAAACGAAGCACTTAAATATAAGCTTTCTGTTACTTGTTGAATAAGAACTCGAATTTAAGCATTCATAATTATTTTTCTTCAAATTATATGTTTAAGGATCTAAAATACGACAGATACGTTGAGTAATCTTAAATGGATCCTTAAATTGTCCTAATTTGTTCAATACTTTGTAGAGTCGTTAGGTTTTTTTTTTTTTTTTTTTTTTTTTTTTTTTTTTTTTTTTTTGGAAGCAGGTGACGTGAAGAATGAACAATGCCCTCCCCGAGACTCGAACCTGGTTAGGTTAGGTTATTTTAATTACGGCAAAGCCTCGAGGGCTATCTGCCTAAGGGGAGGGATGCCTTCGTGGAGGTCTTTCTAAGGAAAACTGGCTCATATACACGTTACACATGGGTAAAATCACGAAAACACCCATGCAGCCAGCCCGTTCACGGGATTCGAACCTCGAACCGAACTACCAGTGTTCAGCGACTTTACCGCTCGGCCGTTGGTGGGCCGACTCGAACCTGGATCTTTGTAATACGCGCCGAGTGTGCGACCGTTACATCAAGAAGGCATGCTGGAAGGAGAGAGAAAATACATTATAATTTTCGAAAGGTTTCAATTAAATATTGTAACGACACTTTGCTATCACGATAAGTGATGCATGTTCGTTACTACAATTAAGCTGCGTTAAAGAAAGTTACATTTAAACATGAACGCAATTAAGAAATTAACTTTTCCCTTCACTTTGCAAAAAAATCTGATTTTTGACCAGTGCGTAGAATATATATAAAAAGGTATACTTAAGACAGTCAGAGTTCACAAGTACAGGAGATTCCACATGATATTCTGATATTATTTTACTCTCGAAAATTCATTTAAATCAAACACGTTCTGTTAAAGTTTGTTAAACACGTTTTGTTTGTTTGTATTTTCACGAACAGAAAAAATTACTCCTAATTCTGAATAATTCAGGAACACATGAAAAGAGGGATATACATTACGGGAATTGGAGAAATAGTAATGCATGAATAATCGAATAATATACCTGCCCGTTGCTTAAACTCAGGTAACAGGTTTATGTAATTATATATGTGCAACGTGAATATGAACAGTATTGAGATTTTATTAAGTAGTTCTCAACGCAGACAACGCTCCTAAAGTCGAGCTCGCTGTATGGGAGTTTTCGTGGTTTTCTCCCATGTTGTAATGTGAATATATAATCAATTAATAAACCAACAACTTTAATAGAGGTATAAGAATTGTTTTAAAATTAAACATTTTCTAGATAAAAATTAAAATGATTGTTTTTATTCTAAGTCTATTAAAACTGGGGGAAAATATTTTTAAAAAAAATAACTTACCGCTTTCGATAGCAAATGGACATTTAGGATTATCGAAAGGAAATATTTTCAGATTTCCTTGGCAGTTAATAGCAATTGCCCTTCTGTAAACAAAATAAAATGTCTTTACTTTTATATCTAGATAAGGAATATACATAAACATCAATTTTTGAGTAATGTTTTATTTAAGTATCTCTCTTTAGCTCTTGTTTATTACACAAAATTAAACTGAACAACTACAGGAATCCTGACTGCTAAAAATATGAACTTCTTTCTAACCAGTTCACGAATCGTAAAATCGTTTATTTAGCTCATAAATTATAATTGTTGCTTGCCCTTTCGGTTTAGTAAAAATGAGCTACTTATTTAAAAATTATAATTCGACACCCTTTTGTAGAAATATGGTTCATCTGCATATTCTAATATAAATAATTAAAAGGCTTGATGAATTATGCATTTTGACAAGGGAATCTGTCTCTATGCGCAAGTAAAGGAACAAAATCTTGTGCAGTTATAAATAGAGAGCAATCATCAGCGTAGCTAACTGGGTGATGTCAACTTTCATCCAATATTATTAGATAATTATTTTATATTTTTCTCATACACCGGTAAATTCACAACGACACCAGTAAAAAAAACAAAGACGCTCACAACTAGCTTTGGCTAGTCGTCAAAGTGGCCCCGCCAGTGCTATGCGGCCTGCCCGTCACCTAGGAAACTCCAGAATTCTCGGACTAGCCGAGCTATTAGTACCATCGGCTCTGGGACTTACGCGAATCCCTTTTGGTTTGACCGTATAGACTAGCTTCCCTGAGGCTCTGGAACCGTTAGGCTTATGTTTTGGTTCCCCCAGAGTGCTACTGCTATGGTAAAATATTAATTTAGTGTATACAACTCAGAGGGTAACTATGACATAACTCTTATTCAAAGATTGAAGATACAGATTTGATTAATTTTGTTGGTACTTGCCAAAAGATAAATAATCTTAGTTACGAATTTTTGCAATAAGAATAATCGCTTTGTTTGTGAGTGCTTTTGTATGTGAGCAAAAATTTTTTCCACATTTGAAAATTAATAAGTCTAAAAATAGAGCCAGATAGACCCACGAAACACTGTACATGAAAGCTGTAGTGGTAAATAAAGATTATTTGCACACAAAATATGGGTATTTTTTCTTTTTTGTGTGCCTTAAAGAAAAATTTAATAAATAAAAGAAAGAGAACAGGTTCATTCTGAAGTTTTGTCTCACATGGAAAGTTTTCGCAATTTGATTATTTTTAGTTTAAGTTAAAACGTAAGTTACTTAATGATTTATTCAATAGCTTGCAATCCTTTCAAATAACTGTCAGTCTGAAAACGTAGTATTTTTTGTGAATATGTTTCAGTTATAAAGTGTAACCATCAGAATTTTTTTGCAAATACTCTCCTTTAGATTTCAGAGAGAACATAAATATTACCTGAAATATTTTCATTTGCTTCATCACTATTATTACATAAAATTAAACTAAACAACTACAGGAATCCTGACTGCTAAAAATATGAACTTCTTTCTAACCAGTTCACGAATCGTAAAATCGTTTATTTAGCTTATAAATTATAATATAATCACTTTCGGTTTAGTAAAAATGAGCTACTTATTTAAAAAATATAATTCGACACATGTTTTGATCAATATTTCATAAATAAAATTTTTAATTTAATTAAAAAGTTTCTCGCAAAAAAAAAAATTCGGCACCTCAGCTACTTTTAGATCATGTATTGGGTCCGTATGCAATTTGAGTCTGAGACCACTGGCCTAGTTTATCCATTTCTGCTTTTGCATTTTCTTTCATTCAAGGTTAGAAGATTTTTCATTCATTCCTGATTACTTATACCTCAAAACGTAACCAGAGCACTTGTCTACTTATTTATAGCTTTCAAATGCTTTCCAAATTGGATTAAAATTGCGTTAGGAAATGATTGCACTCTTGAGCCATAACTATCCTTTTAATCTCTCTAAAATCTTACCTGTCTATAGCGATTTCTTTCGCTTTTATGAAAGACGAATTCCAAGCCTTCTAAGTAAAGAAAACAGAAAAGGATTTTAAGAACAAAAATGAAAAACGAAAATATTGCTCTTAATTTTTTTATGGAATAGTTACACAGAAGTATGTCTTTAATGATGGAATAGCTTAGAGGTTTAGAACAATTCTGTAGAGTGTTTTTATTCCTCGCAAAAATCTATATGGTTAAAAATAGGTTTCATCCTTAGCAATCAGGAATACTCTCTCAATTGTAAACTGTTCAGAGCAAAAAGCAGAGCTTGACTTTCGATTTTGAACCAAGGAGGCTTAAAAATTGGAGACAGAGAGATTTTGTGGATACAAATCGCCAGAGCTTAAATTGCGCCGTTAATTCTCAGGTTTTGAGATAAATAATAATTTTAGCCGCAGCGCACAGGAGCCCTAGATGAAAGAGGCACTTCTTTTATCAAAGTGAACCCCAATTTCAACAGACAAATTTTACTTTAATAACAATTATGCCTTAAAAAATCTACTCTAACTTCTGAATGCAAGCCTGTTTTTCCCTCTGTCACAAACCTTGGACAGAGGTTGAGACTTTCAAGGAAAGAAAAGTCCCCGCTCATATGTACCCCTTATTCTTCAGGATTTATGAGAGCGAGTAAATTTTTCCTTCCTGAAAATACTAAAAGTGATACCCTGGTCGTGCACATGCCACGCTAGTGACTTCCTACTGCAGACCTACAGTAGACTTTTTGAACGATGTGACCAAGCGCAGGGGACCACTACTGTCACTAGTATAGAGAAGTCACGTTTATTCTCATAATGTTAATGGATCGTATTCAGGGAAAATTTTTACTTGACGGCTAGAATTACTATATCGACGGGATATTGCTATCAGAAAGACTTGCTTTTTTCTTTTTATTTTCAAAGCCATACTTTTCTATTAAAATTTCCTTCCATATTCTCATACTGTTTCTACAATTCTCACTGTTCTCCTTAATGACGCTAAACTACTTCTTAGACTCTGAGTGGAACTGTTATTACAACCGAAGCCCTAAATAAGATGAAATCCGATAATTTATTTTTTATTTACCTATTTATAATTACTCTAATAATTTACTAAATTTCTGTTTGTCTCTTTATATTTCTTTTAATTTTGGTTTAATTATTTTAATTTTTAGCCCAAATGGGCAATTTGCCCAGAAGGTCTATTAATTTTGTTTTGGCCTTTTGCGTTAATTCACTATAAACGGCGAATCACTTTTTAAATTGTTGGCACAAAATATTAGAGTCCTGTATTATATTTAAACAAACTAAATAGTGAAGAATCTGCACAAATGTATGTATGTTTCTCGTATTGTGATAAAACAACTGTACCTAGAGCCATCAAATTTTGAATAACGTACATCTCCACCCGAATATGGGCTTCTGGAAGCCCAAATTTGGAATTTGTTATATTATCTATTTCATATTTTTAAAGCATTCATGAGTTTTTGACTAAGAAACTCAAAGATTTCAAAGCTAGAAATGGCAACACTGTACGGAAAAAACATTATCACCAGCGCACGAGACTGTGAATCGGAAATTCTAAAGATATCTCTTTTATATATTCTTTTGTGATACGGTTGTTGAATCAATTTTATGGTTTAAGTGCGAAGAATATGATACTTAATAAATAAAAGGAACACACAAATCCTTAAAAAAACGTTCCTTTGGGCGTAATGTAAAATCTGAAAGCTTTCAGATTTTTTTCAAAGTTTTTTTTTTCCCCTTCCTTCCTAACAGTTTTCCATAGGGCTCCGGCACTTCTAATTTTAGAAATTAAGTACTTCAGATGGTGATAATATGTTTACGAAAGTCCTCTCTCTCCTATACTAAAATCACTAGATTTCGTTAAATCAAATCTTCGATGGCTGAGCTTAATGTGCCACTTTCACTGCACCACTGTCTTTCATGGAGGTAAGAAAGGACTTACTTCCTACCTCCATGCTGTCTTTAAATGGGCTTGTTCCCTTTTAAGTTTCCGAAGATGAAAAAAAACTGTCCATATGAAACAGTCCATATGTTATTTCTCGTTATAGGGACCGTGTATTTATCAGATCAGTATTTCTTATGTTATTTTAGATCTGATAAGCAGTATGGTATAATTGGATTTTTTATTTCAATTTACTCTGCTTTAGTTTATGAAAGGTCTGACAGAAAAGCTTTGGTTAAAAAAAAAAAAAAAAAAAAAAAAACAGGAAAGCTTGTATATGTAATTAATTTTCCATTAAGAGTCTTTCAATATACCTTACAGACAACATGAAACTTATAGCACAATTGCAATATCCAGTTACTCTCAGTTATAAAAATATTACAATTTATATGAAAAGCAGGGAAAGGAAAAAGAAAAAAAAAAAAAACAGAAAAAGATAACTTGCCTCAAAATATGAACAATTGTTCCATTACTGTACACTCGTAAACTCATATCAACCAAAGGATCCTTCAGGCTTCCGTGCTTCACAATGTAAGTATTTGGTAACCATATATTGTTAACATGACTCATGCCATTTAGATACTTGTGACGGTCATTATCCTTGTACTTCAATCGAGGGTCTTCCCATGTACGATACAAGAGAAACTCCACTTCATAATTCTTTCACGAAGGATTAAACAGAGTTAAGCTACAAGTAAACTGTATTTTAAAGCAGTAAATAAGAAATAATGCACATGAACTGAGCAGATTTTACACAAATCAAGACAAAATTTACGTTCATCTAGCAACTTATTTGCCGTGTGCTATATTTGTTTTATAATCTGAAAAATATCACTATCCGTTTCCTAAAAATATATTTAGAAAACAGTGAAACGGCCTTTCATCCATTTATAGCTTTCATTCGCTAATTCATTTGTATTTTTATTATTCATTTCTTGTAATATTCCTATTTAAAGAAACTGCAGCGATTTTATTTAAAATATTTAATTCAAACCTGATATTAAGCTGTACTTTGAAACCACTTGTAATTTACTTTAATTCCGCATGAGTATGTATTGAAGCTTATTGAAATCCTACATAAAGCTGTGCTGAAGTTATGTATGAGCATAATAGATTGACTACTGAAAGTGTTGAAGAGTTTCAAGCTGATTTAATTAATGTTTTATCATTCTTTAATTAATTAATAATGCAAGAGTTTGCTAATCAGCTTCTTTTCGGTATAAAATTTGATATTATTATATCATTTCGAAAACAATACTTTTGAAAGCGTTATTCTCTACACAACCAGTGATTAATATTTACATGTCATAATAAGCAGCATATTTTATGTTAAAAATGTTGTCATAAATGCTCTTCCGTTTCATAAAATGTAAAACTTTAATGAAGTTGTTAGTGTCTAAGGTGAAGCATAAAACTTGCTTTTCTAATAATAATGAAACAGCATGTAATTAACATTTGTGAGGAAATTAATGCCTGTTTTGTTACCATGACAAACTTAGCCTTCTATTAGATACTTTTGAGTTGCCATGCCAACTTTGGCAGAGAACACTGAATTCTGTTCCTGCTAAGCAACCTGCATTTCGAAATTAGCAAGAAAACTAAATTATTAACAATTTAAATTTTTTATTGTTATATACTTGAGGCTTTATGCAGAAAATTGCAGAAACATGTTATGATAACAAATGAAGCATTACGACCGAAGGTAATGAATAGTCCATTATTATGATAATAAAGTATTGCAAAAATAAAGCTGGGACTACTGAGCCTATTTCAGACTAACTGGCAGAATGGGGGTTGGCATCTATTCAAGCATTCATTTAACAAGACTAGCTTGAAAGAGGTACCGCAAATGCTGCTTGAGTTAACAGTCGTTTATCATGATATGTTTTAAAACTTTTCTAAAGACTTAGTCCAAAGTTTTATCATTTAATTGGAATTTTACGAAAATTAAAAAATTATTTATAATTTTAATTGCTAAACAAACTTGCTAAACATTAAGTAGAACTTATTGTTGTTGAATTAAATAAAGTAGAATATAATAAATTTTAACAAGTTATAAATATTATAAAATAGAAAATTATAAACTAATCATTTTTATTTACGGAATTGTCGATGAAGACTTTAGTCATGAGGTATTTCCGAATACATGCCAAACCTAAATGTGTATTCGTATGTTTTGTTTTCCAAAGTATTAGCACATGTTTATAGTGGTGCCTGAGGGGCAGATCTTACTTTAATAAAATGCTTTAATGGCATTTTTAATGAATGAAATTAGACGTAAACTTACATCTGATGAATGTAATGCATAGTAGAGAACTCATTGCAATGAAAGTAAACCTAGCTAACTCATGATTATCTTTTCGCATTTTTGTACAATAGATAAACTTATAAGTAAGGTAATAAAGGTGACAATTTCTTGAATCGCGTTAACTTACTTATAAGTAAGGTAATAAAGCTCAAAATTAAAATTATAAATATTTTCGTAAAATTCAAATTAAATGATAAAACTTTGGACTAAGTCTTTAGAAAAGTTTGTACGATCCTGAAACTTACATATTCTAAATTAAAAATTTTACATTTGTGACATACATGAGCATTGTTTCGTTTAAAACTTCTTACATCATTTATCGATTTATCAGCAGCGATCATTGGATGATCTTGGAACTGACATCAGTGTTATAAAAAGCAAAATATCCATATGACGATTCCTTATCTCACGCACCACGGTATAAGTGGTTTAATCGTCTTTTTACGCTGAATGATTTCCTAGGGCGAAATAAAATAATTCATATATGGAATACTCGTTCGTTCTGACATTAAACTCAATTATTTAGCACATTTTATAAGCTCGTAACAGCACCTTGACAATTTCTTGGATCTCGTTATACCAGCAGCTTGTGAACATTCTCCTTGAAGCTCATATTATTGTATTATTTTAAATTCACAGTTCGTGAACTTTATGATGCATGTGTATTTTTTAAAGAAAATAAATACTTCAAAATGATATATACTTCTTATTTTCCAGTTTCTAAATAAATATACTGAAAGAATAACTAGGATTTAAGTAAAGTAAAACGAGACCTGATACAAATACGAATTTAAGCGATTAATTATAGTTTATAATTAAATCTGAGTTTTTCAGTTGACTGCAAAATTAACAAATATAAAATAAATCTCTTAATTACTATTTATTTTGCTTTCAGGTAAGCCATTTTTATTTAATATGATTTTTAAGTTAAACATTAGTGTTAGATAGCTTACACTAGTTCACGTTAATTTATTTCAAACGATGTTACTTCATAGTAGTCGGACACTCTTTTGCGGTAATTTAATTTTTAAAATTTGCTAAAGATGTTTATTATACTTAGATGAACTTCTGAGAATGTTATGCTCACGAAACCTTGAATGGTTATGTGCATTATTTATAAAAAATTACTGATCATAAAATTTCATGGCAGATTTCAAGGATGCTTTAATACACCTCGCATTAGTTTCGGAGAATCGGTTATATTCATAATAAAACTCAAGGTTAAAAATATTATGTAGGAAAGTTTTCAGAGCTAAAAAAAATAATTCGGCGATGAGTTATAATATGAGACACTTTAAAAAGCTTTGTCTTTTAATTGCTTCTGTATAATAGAGAGTTCTCTGATGATATCATAATCTTCTACTCCAACACATTTTCGAAGAAACATTTCTCGAAGGTCGAGTAAGTAGTCATCGTTTTACTTTTCTTAATCATGAAACACTCTGCTGAAAAAGATTCATTAGTTTTGTCAACAGTATTATTGTGCTTTTGTGTTTTCCGTGTCAACATGTTCATTTGTAACAAAATATTTTTTTCGCAATACCCTTTATCTTTAAACATATATCTACTTTTTTATCTTTATATATATGTGTGTGTGTGTTTTGTGTATCTTTTAAATACAATTTCCGATTATATATGTGAATGGCTGTCATACATCTGGAAAGCACCGGGATAAACTAATAGAATCGTTTAGGGTGATGCCACTATAGAACTGCCTTATGCTCCTATTTGAAACTTATTTCTTTCATGACCCCAAAGCGTATTGACATATCTCTCAAAAATATGATGGATATTCTAGAAACATCACTATCAACATGCTAACCAATTTCTCGCAAAAGCAGCACTGTAAGACTGGATTAATGTCATGCACGGCTTCTCATTTCTTCTTCTCATACAAGAATTCCTTTGCTTTTTGGAAGACAAGAATAAAGGTGCTGTTCCAAGAAAAGTGCTTTTATTATTCTACGTTGTCTCTTAGTGCTAAGGTATTGCATGATCTTATTCGTGATTCATTTACAACAATAATCTTCTCAAGGAACTCTTCCCTTACTTTATTGTGATACTCAATGCATACCTGCAACTGAATGGCGGCGCCGAATATGAACTCAGTTTCACAGTGACAATACAGTTCTTTCAACAAGGTCAAATAAACTGCAGTCAAATAATCAAAAATAATGTAATACCTTAATGGGTCCACCTTTTGCATTTATGGCTGCCCGTTATCTGTCTGGCATTGATAAAACAAGATTTCTTGCCGTGTACGGTGTAATTTCATACCATACTCCTTTTACTGCCTTCAGAGTATCTTTGCTTGTAATAGCATACTGGGAGGCTTCGCCGATCAAGTTCATCCCATATCTGTTCTGTGGGGTTTAATCTCCTGACTGAGGTGGAGAATGCAGTTGAGTAGGCACTTTATACGGAAGCCATTCTCTAACACTCTTAGTAGTATATTTTAACTCTTTGTCTTGTTGAAAGACCCAGAAGTTTCCTAGTTCCAATTTTTTAAACAGATGATTACAGATTACTTTGCAATAGTTTCAGATAAATGAATCAATCAATAGTGCAATCTATGAAAAGTAATATACTTATTCCAGCCGCTGTCATTGAGCCCCAAAACCAATACACACTCCCTCCACCATATTTAACAGTTGGTATCAAACTTTGTGATTTGATTTCTTCATTTTTTCGTCTCAAAATCTTTTCATTACCATTGTTTCCGAAAACATTGAACTTACTTTAAATAATAAATAACAGTGTTTTCCAAAAATCGAAATTTTTGTTTAGGTATTTATTTGCAACATTTAATCGATTTTGAAGTGAGATCGGAGGTTTTCTTCTAGGAGCTCTGATATTAAACCTCGCTAATCGGAGAATTCCACCACCCATTTCCAAACGGACGTTTTTTCCTTTTACCATCTCAAGGTGTTCTGTTAATTTTTGAACGTATACTTTTGGATCTTTTTTTACGTTGTTCACAAGATTTCTTCCATCACGATGTCTAACTGCCATTGGACGACCACTTCGAGATTTGTTGTGCGCATTTCCCCATTATTTGTAATTTTTAATTGCAGTCTGTGCAGCTGCATAACTTTTCCCAATAATTTTAACTAGTCAAAAAAAGATTGCTTTTCTTGCCTTAATTTTACAATAAGGTTTCTAAAATCTAAAGAAATTTCTTTCCTTGGATTAATTTTTTCAAACAGCAATCACCTTTGGAAAAGGGATTCTGAATTTTACGTTTGAGGTGTTCTTATAAATCTAAAAGGGAAGAAAACAGCTTTATATGCGAATTTAGTTAGAAGCCAATCAACTGCATGCTGATTTTCGTGATTTGTTGATTTCAACAAATCTGCATATATCTTTCGTATTTACCTTATTTAAGCTCTTATTTTCGGGGAAATACTTTTATGTGAGTAAAATGACAAGTAATATAATTTTACAGTTAAGAATCAAATAGTGTTCGGTAAACCTCTGTTTTAATGGGTGTATGTAGATTTCGGTGACTGAGTGTTACATCTTAGATTTAATCAACTCCATGTGAAGAAATCTGATACTAGTCGGCTTTAACTTCCTGTATTATGACTTTATTCGCCACCTAGGCGAAACACTGTCACCCATTCTGCTACAGTTTGCTGTAGCAATGTTTGGTTATTATACATTTTCCTAAAATTTAACATTCTTAAGCATTACGGCTAGACATCGTATCGATTTCATGCCATGAACATGAAACAGTTTGGACGACGTCTCTTTTTAAGGTTTTCCTGTTTGGGAAAAAGTAATTCAAAATCTCGCTGTCTTCCTTTCGAATGTGCGTGGGAAATAGCAATTCATATTATAAATTACAAGCATACTATATTATATCTATTTTATAGTCAATCGTTTAATTACTTAAATTGGTATCTAATTAAATCTTTACTATAGAGCTATACAAATATACTGCTATGCCTTGCTGATTTCGTGTATAGTAATAACTTCGCAGAATAAAATCTTAAAATTAAAATGCTCAAAATTCTCAAAATAAGCGATTTTCTAACTTTAATTCTAAAATATGTAGTTAAATTATTGTCCTGATAACAGTCTCTTATAACTATATGCTGTATACTTATAACAAAGCACAAAGCTAAGATTAGTATGTAAATGAGTATAATTTGATTCTTTTCGTAGAAAAATTTCAATAATCAATTTTAATCACCTCAACAATCTCCTCGAAAACTTGTGGTTTACATATATTTATAGAATTATGAACTGATTTTATGACTCTAACGCTTGTCATTCATTATTTAATCATCGTAACATGAGATGTTCCTTTTCTATAATGTGTCCTAAGCATTTTCTGCACAGTAATTAGAATTTTACTTCTATAATCTATGAGACAGACAGCAAAGGCACAGAAAAATGTACATTTTGGAAGAAACTTAACGATACTGCTCTTAGTATTTAACGATAGTGCTCTTAGCGAGTAAATTGAGGAACTTCGGGATTGTCGCCATTTACTTTTAAAAATATTCTTCATCAGAAACCCTTAATCTGTAATTCTTTTGAAAAGACAAATTTGCATACTAACTTTTTTTAAAGAACAATATGATGATGTGATATGACATAAGAAATACACTGGTTATCATAAATTAAGGAAAAATCACAAAAATCACGATTACTGAAAAAGTTACTTGTAGAATTTTATGAAACTTACCCACAATATACAACACATATTATAGTAAGGTATCAAATAACATAAAAATAAATTACCAGACAATTATAGTAATATAGAAATTAGCACATGTATAAAATAAACAAATCGAAGGTGTCAGTTTGCTTTAGGAAAAGTACCTTCAATATGGAATATGATCGCCTCTAGAAGCAATACAGCGATGTGTGATGCTTTCAATTATGCGGTCTATCAGTTCCATAGGAAGCGAGAGCCATTGCTCTTGCAAAGCAGTTGCAAGCGCGGCAAGGCTCTAAGGGGGCGGATTGAGAGCAGCTAGACGTCTCCTAAAGCATCCCAAACGTGCTCGATAGGATTCAAGTCCGGGGATCGAGCTGGCCACTCCATGCACATAATTGTTTCCTGTTGAAGATAATCATCTACGATGCGAGCCCTGTGTGGTCTTGAGTTATCGTCCTGTAACAGGAAAGTATCACCTATTGCCCCAGCACATGGGCGCACATAAGCATCAAGGATATCATCTCTATAAACCGGAGCATTCACGGTTTCCGTTGGAAAGACATGGAGGTCTGTGCATCCACCCAAATAGATGCCACCCCAGACACAGACACTGCCTCTTCCATATGCATCTCTTTCACGGATGCTTGACGGATGATAATGGGTTCCAGGTTCTCTCCATATCAAATAACGCCTACTATCGCTTTCTAGACTAAACCTGGACTCATCCGTAAAGAGAACAGCCCTCCACTGATCAAGCGTCCAGTGGACATGTTGTGCCCACTGAAAACGGTCCCTCCTATGGCGTGACGTGAGCGGCACGCAAATTTCTGGTCGTCTCGCATACAGACCACCTTCGTGAAGCCTTCTACGCACAATTGAACTTGACACCAACCCTCCGTTGGCTGCAGGAAGGGAGGATATAAGAAGAGTCGGAATAGCGATTCTATTCCTACGTGCCCATAATGTCAAATATCGGTCATCTGCGCTCGTCGTAGCAGTTGACCGTCCTTGACTGAACCGCCTATAGGCCGAATCTGTGGTTTGAAATCGCCTCTAAAGTCTATGAACCACAGAAGGACTCACATTTAGCCATCTGGCCACTTCTGTTTGACTTTATCCTGCCTCTAGTCTCCCAATGGCTTTCCATCGTAGTTCTGCAGGCAAATGATGCCTGGAAATCATTGTTAAGAATTGGCTATCTCAGATTTCTGATGTCACTATCACAGTGAAATATGTGGGCTTGCTCTCAAACATGGACTTTTATTCTCCCCGCAGATGACGTATTCCGAGTGCAGCCCCACTAATTTGCATATTGCAGTTTTACTCAGCTACTCTTACTTGGCAACATATTCAAATTTTACCCGGTTTGGCTTATTTTTGAAGGAGTGATCGCTATTTTTGTGATTTTTCCTTAACTTATGATAACCAGTGTACATAAAACATTCTAAATTAAATAGATATCTGTGATTTAGTAATATTTGGATTTGAAGGTAAGAAAAAGATCAGGAAGCTTACATAGGCCGTCTGATTTAACTTATAAATCTTCGCCAAAATTATCCACTGTAACTACTTTTAGTTTACATGCATTTTAGATACAATAAACTATTTCGAAATTCTGAATAATTTTATACAGAATTTTATTTTTAATTAAAATATTTACATAAGGGCTAATTATGTTTCTTCTTAGTTAGCATAGCTTTTAAGGATATCATGTTACACATTGTGTATAAAAAGTTATTTCAATATTTTTATACATAATCAGAAAATTTCATCAGACTGTGTACTACAGATAATTTATTTTATGTAGTCACATTATCAGAGATGTATATGAAACAAAATAATAATAACAATCTGATGAATTGTTTTGACATAAAGAATGCATTAGATGTTTATTATTTCATAATGTATGAGTTCCTTACCAAAGCAAAATTTATTCATTTTCAACAGCTAACAAAATTATTCATTTCGCTAGCTTTTCAAAATGAATTAATTCCGATTTGACGTTACCAATTTCAATCCTTGATATAAATTACTTGCTTTTGCAAATTAATTAAATTCGTAATTTTCAGCATTTGGTAAATTCTGGTCAAACTATATCTTTATTTAAAGGTATAGTTACTATACCTTTAAATAAAGATATCTATCGTTAATTACTTGATATTGTATATTATACCTGAATGAATTTAGAGGGGGATGTATTCTAACAGTAAGGCTGGTAAAACACCACAAATAATGACCATTTTGAACTAAGCAACGAAAAATTAGGAAATTGTAACCCTTTACTGATAACAGTTAAGTGTTTAGTAAAGTCTACTCTCTTTTACTGAATACTTATCCAAGCACAACTCATGATTTAATATTGCAAAAAATATGAAGCATCATGCAAATAATTCAAATTTATAAGTTTATTATCGCATAAGTGAATAATCCCCCCCTTTTATTCCTTATTCTTTTTCCGAATATTCACCCTCGAGTAAATTACATTTTCAGTTCTTAATATAGCTGTAAGCCACAACAACGCAGTCTTTTATAATAATGCCTAGAGATGACAATGTATTTAATAAAATTTCAATGACTAGTTGATTCATTATGAACGTAAAATTTCAGCTTACCAAGCTTGATTCATCAGGAGAAGATAAAGAGTGTAGAAGAACATTCACTTGAATTTTTGTGAGATCTAAAAGGAAAGGTCACTTTCAGAAGAATGTAAAATGTTTTGTATCTCTTTGAATAAATTTACTACTTTTAAATTTCTAATATATGGTATGGCGTGTTTTTGCATAATAAAAAATAACACTTTTACAAGCAATTGAAATCTACGCCTTCTTCTTGCAAAACTCTGTATGCACAAATAAGTTCTCGTATAAACAGCTTTCGCATCAAAGATATCTGAAGTCTGGAAAAAAAACTTGAAAGATGTGAAAACATTTTTCCGAGCATATAATTCTTGCTCATTAAACTTATAAGGTATTTCTCCTGCCTTCTCAGCATGCTTTCGTGGTGTAATGGTTAGCACACTCGGCGCGTATTCGAGAGGCCCGTGGTTCGAATCCCTGCGAAGGCATTGCCCATTTTTCATCTCTCCTGCTTTGAAATAACCTAATATCTCTACAGTTGCGCCCGAACTAAAAACGATTGTGGATGATGATTCTCCGCCACCAGGATTTGACGAATGGGTCCCCCAATCTCCAATCGCCCTTTAAAAGGGGAGTATATAAGGTAGTTCTCCCGCCTTCTCAGCATGCCTTCGTAGTGTAGTGGTCAGCACGCTCGGCGCGTATTCGAGATGCCCATGGTTCGAGTTCCGGTGAAGGCGTTGCTCTTTTTTCATTTCTCCTGCTTCGAAATAACCTAATCTCTCTACAACTCATGCTTGCTGTAAACCGTTTTATCTTACTCTAAATTCATTATAAATATCTTGTTGAATAATGTAAATTATATACTTGTGACTAATGTAAATTATATACTTGTGACTAATGTAAATTATATACTTTGAAGGCTTTAAGATATATTTTAGTGTGCTATTACAGATAAACCTTCTCTTAGACCTATTAGCTGCATAATAATAGTGACAGCGTTGAATTCATGATGTGATGAGAATTAATTAACATTTATAGAGAAATGCACTGCCGTCCAAAAGTTAAGGAACACTATGTTTTTGAAGACTCGCCATTACAAAACTGTCAGTAACATTTAAATTCACAGTTTATATGCATAATGGTAAGGAAATTTAAGAAAATATATGCAAAAACAATAGCTACCACTTTATTTTATAGAAAGGAATACTTATATAGGAGTTGGAGAAAAAGGCAAAAATTGTAAGTTTTGTTCACGCGTGTTGATCTTCAATTGTTATTAGCAACTTCGTTTACAAGATCCAGGAGAGTCTATCAATGTCCAAGAGAAATTGTTTGCTGGATTCCTTGAGGTGGCGGGCGATCGGATGGATGGAAATGGGATGTCACAAACTGATGCTACCAGATGTTTCAATGTCTCTCCTACTGTAGTCCACCGACTATGGAATAAGTTTGAATCCGAGAATTCTGTGTCTAGAACAGTGCTCCGCAACCGGTGTGCCGCGGTACACTGGTGTGCCATGAGTAGGATATAGATGTGCCGCAATCAAATACATGTATTTGACATTTTGCAATTTTTTTATCATGTATTTAATACACAATGACAATTTTTTTTCCTTAATAATGTCTATTTTATGTTTTTATATATTTCACTGTTGTGTGGTTGTGTGCGTGATTGTAAGTGTGTCAGCATTTGAATTTTTTGGGCACTTCCTTGATAACTCGGAATTCTTTGGTGTGCCACGAAATTCCAGAAAGATTTTTTGTGCGTCGCAGGTGAGGAAAGGTTGCGGAGCACTGGTCTAGAAGACATGTTCCAGGCAGACCTAGAATTACAACACCTGCGAGAGACCGCTATTTAGCTCTTACTGTGCCTCAGCTCATGGCAGATCAGTTAGTGGCAATAGAAACAAGAATCGCTGCTAGTACAGCGAGCATACGCTTGCACAATATAGGTCTGTATGCAAGACGACCAGTTGTTTGTGTCCCCTTGACCCGAGGAAACAGAGATACCTTTTTATGTTGGGCAAGAGAACACGTCACCTGGACCAATCAACAATGGGCATCTGTTCTCTTCACGGACGAGTTCAGGAGCACATTGGAGAGTTATTCGGGTCGTGAGCAGATCTGGAGGGAACAACGCACCAGATACAACCAATCCCACGCAAGTAGAAAGACACAGTTATAGAGCTTGTGGAATAATGGTTTGGGTTAGGATCACTCTCGGTGGTTACACTGAGGTTCCATGGAGGAACTTTGAACATGGTGGTTCCATGGAGGAACTTTGAACATGGTGGTTCCATGGAGGAACTTTGAACATAGTGGTTCCATAGAGGAACTTTGATCGATGTGAGATATTGAAACGAGATCCTTGATCAACATGTCCGTCCATATGCCACTGCTATTGGTTCTGGATTTCTTCTGATGGACGACAATGCGCGACCACACCGAGCTCGGGTTGCTGAAGAATATATTGAGGGTCACTGTATGGAGCGGATGGAATGGTCAACTCAATCCCCAGACCTGAATCCGATAGAGCATTTTTAGGACTGCATTGGGAGACAGGTTGCTACTTTCAATCCTCCTCCGAGGTCGTTAGATGAGCTTGAACAGGGGTGGTTACTCCGTGTCTGGTCGTTGCTTCCCATTTCACTGACCGACAACTTAATTGACCACATGGAACGTTGCTACCGCCAATGTATTGCAGCTAGGAGTAGACACATTCCTTAATAGAACCCATTTTTGCACTGTTACCACACCGTTTTTCCTCAAAAAAAACTGTGATATACTGTCTCCAAGACTGGAATTCTCTGCCAAGAATGCAAATTTTTGTTGTAATTCATGTTTGTGTTGAACTTTAGAAACATTCTATGTCGCATTCATTAAAGACCTGTTTAGTGAACATGTCGTGTAAATTTCTGATTTCTACGTTGCTTCATCCTCAAATTATACATAAAAATCATGCTTTTCCTTAACTTTTGGAGGGCAGTGTATTAAATAAGATATACAATTAAAAATTATTAATGTTAATGCACTTTAGAATGTTGGAAAACACAGTTTTTCTCTCTTTAAAATTGCATGAAATATTTAATTCTCATTTTTAAATAGTGTTTCATTGACTAACTTGATAAAATAATGATATACCATTTAAGATTCTAACTCGTTATTTTAATTTAAAGTACCTTTCCTTTCAGTTTTCATTTCACTTTTCTGCCTGGATGCAAATTTCCAGCACGCGCGATATTAATATTAGGAAGGAAGGTACTGTTTAAAAGGAAGGTTTTGGAAGGTGAATTCAGAGCGTGTTCTGCCTACTTGAAGGCCACGCTGCTAACTGATTCTCTAGAGATTAGAATTATGTGGCGTTGAGTTATTCTTTCCATTAGGCTTGTTTGCACCGATTTTTGAGTCAGAGCCAGCTTGCGCTTGTTAACCTGTGAAGTCGTTAGTCTAAATTCATTGAATTTTAAATTATCCATCACCTCTTGAGTGAACACAAAAGTATTGGCTTTTATAAGCAAGAGCTAGTGCCGACTGTTAACTTTTATTTGAGTTAATAAAGTGTTCTATACACTCGTCTCTTGACTTTGTGGTACTTTTAAAGGACTTGGTGATAATTCACCAAGAGTCTTCAACGTCGATTACATCTTATGATAGCTAAGAAACATGATGTTATAAAACATATATTAATGTTAAACAAATGTTAAAAAGTGCATAGAAACGTTATTGTGATTAAAATTTAAACATTAACATATTTACTTAAAATCTGAAGTATACGTATTTTCCATACACATATCCAAATCAAAATCTGGTTATTAATAAATTAAAATAAAGTCAACCATATATAAAGCCATAAAGTCACTTGCAGGCTATTCGTAAACCAAATATATGCATATGGGGTGTAAGTGGATTTACTGAACACAATTATAAAAGGTAATATCAGGTGGGATTTATAAAAATATGCCTAACAAAGATCTCTCTGAAATATACATCCTTTGGTTATAATGTGAATTATAGTGAAGAATTAGATTTTTAATAGGAACATTTTGACTTTGATGATTGGGATATTTTTTGTTACGTACTTTGAAAACACCTCAGATACATCAAGAGAATAGCAGTTCGTGCAAATAAATGGTCGGAAATAAAAGCTGTCTGCACAGTTAATATATTAGCTTATAGCAATATTGAGGCAACTGTATACACTGCTCGACATGGAAAAGGCAACACCAAGAAGGAGTGGTCAGAAATTTATGCAAATTTTAGAGTAGACGCACGTCACTGAGTTATGCGAATGATGTGAAATGCGCAGCTCTCTAACGCACATGAAGTAAGACATAAGGGAAGGAACGTGCAGAATGGGCAATATTCGTGTCGTTATTTCTGCCAGACGAATTATCGTAGAAAGTTGGTTTTTGTCCTAGAGGATACGTGTAATAGGAGAGATAGGCCAGGCCGCTGTCAACGAAGGCACTTCCAGCAGATAGACGATTTTACGAGGGGTATGGTGATGGGACTGAGAAGGGCGGGTTGATCCTTACGTCAAATCACAGCTGATACCCACATGAATGCGAGCACGGTGCATCGGCTATGGCGAACATGGTTGGAACAAGGAAATGTAGGAAGAAGGAGGGATGCAGGTGCAGCCAGAGTGACGTCAGCACGCGTGGACCGACGCATCCGCCGACAAGCTGTGGCAATCCCGCAAGTCACTTGTACCGCGATTCTGCAGCATGTGCAAGATACCCTGGATGTTCCCGTGTCGACCAGAACCATTTCCCGTCGATTGGTTGAACGTGGTCTGCACTCACGGCGTCCGTTAAGAAGACTGCCATTGACCCCACAGCATAGACGTCAACGTTTAGAATGGTGCCGGATTAGAGCGATGGGGATGACAGAATGGTGAAACGTCGTGTTCTCAGATGAGTCACGCTTCTGTTTATCCAGTGACAGTCGCCGCATGCGTGTGTGGCGTCGACGTGAGTACAGATCTAATCCGGCAGTAATTGTGGAACGCCCCACCGCGCGACAACGTGGCATAATGGTTTGAGGTGCTATTGCATACGATTCCAGGTCACCTCTAGTTCGTATTCAGGGCACTATA